GATTAGATGTAACCGATTATTAGCTAGCTACTTAGGGGCCAACAGCATAATCATATTAAAAGTTTCACTGGAGGAGTATTTATCAGGGCCCCTAGGGGACAAGCCTTCTAGGACCAGGCTACAGCAAAGCACACCTCCTGGCCCCTCCGAGCTTCTGTGAAGAAGTAATTAAACAGTAAGTACATGATATACATTCCGGAGGAATTAGATGAGAGCTGCAGTGGAGCTGGGCTCAGTGGTCCCAGAGGCCACCCCTGAAAGGTGAGCTGGGTACAGAAAGGTCTGGGCCTTTTAAAGCTCCAGCCAGCCCCACTGGGGCTGGTGTTAGGGATTCTTTTGGGGCTTCTTTAAGGGAAGAGCAAGCAGAGGACTGATCCCTGTTCTCTCTGTCCCTGTCCCCAGACATAAAAAGGAGGCCCATCCTGGGGCTTCCTTGGGACCAGGCAGTTCCATCTGCAGAATTCTTGGGTCCCATGCAAAAATCAAACGTAGGACACCTTGTTCAAAGGTTATTACAAGGGGCTGGGGATGTGGCTCAAGCGGTAGCGCGCTCGCCTGGCAAGCGTGCAGCCCGGGTTCGATCCTCAGCACCACATACAAACAAAAATGTTGTGTCCGCCAAAAACTAAAAAATAAATATTAAAAAAAATTCTCTCTCAAAAAAAAAAAAGGTTATTACAAACTTTAGCTTGGCAACAGCCTGGAAGGAAGTTCTGGGTTTTTTGAGGTCACTACAGGCCCATGAAGGACCTGGTTCAGCACCCCCATCTTGTGCAGTTGGGTCTGGGGCTTACATCCTCTGCATCTCCAGGCACTGCTATTGGGACCTGTGCGAGTGGGGAGCTGCAGCTGTAGTTGGGGTCCCTCCTGGTCCCAGCCCTGTGGCATCCTCTTGACACAGTGGGACAGAGGTAGGATCTGTGGAAAGTGGCCCCCCTTGGCTGAGGGGCACAGTGAGGCTACTTGGTTCAGCCCCATCTTTCCAGTGTCTGCCCAGTTTCTTCTCTGCCCAGGCTGTGTTGGACCCAGTGGCCCCACCCTAGCCCCCTTCACATGGAAGGGACCCCAAGTCTGTGAAAGTGTGCTGGAGACACAGCCTTCTGTCTGTCCTCTTTTCCTGCCTGCTGTTCCCCAGCTCTGGCCTCTGGGGCCTGTGCCTCACACTTGCCATTCACCAGCTTTTCCTTCCCCTCCTGTACTTTCCGACCCCCAGCACGTACACATTTGCCTGCTTGTCTGAGCATCTCCCATGGCCTGCCAGGTGGGGCCATGAAAACAGGGACCATAGATGTGTTGCTCAAGCTGTAGGCCTAGCAACAGAGGCCCTCAGACAGTGCTTCTGGAGTGAATTCAGGATGGAATGAACTGGGCCAGGAGAGCTGGGGACCAGCCAGGAGCCCCTCCAAGCTTTGGAAAACTGATTAAATTGTAACCTTGACTTGCCTCTTCCTTGGCCCAGGAAGACAGTGGCTGTCCTGCTGTGTGATCTTGGGCCTGCTGGCTCCCTTTAACAGTCTCAGTGCCTTCCCTTGGCCTGACTGAAGCCCCCTACAAGTCCCAGCACTGTCACCTTCCCAACCCTCCCCTGCCCCACAGGGCACCAGCAGCTGCAGCCAGGGGGAGGGGGTTGGGCAGGGAGGAGCCTCCTGTCTGAAATAGGAGCTGCCCCAGGACAGTTCCTCCACACTCCACCCCCTGGCCCCTTTGGGTTCCTGCATCAGTCACCAGCCTCTCCACCTGTCAGGTTGCCCCACATCCCCAGTTCACCAACACTCAGCCATTCATCCAAACATGTACTCCTTAATGCACAGAGCTCTAGGCCCCAGGGATACAGCAGGCGGGAAGCGGAGGTTCCCATGTTATAAAGGGGTGAAGAGACAAAGGGACAACGAAGGATTCTATGGATGCACGAGCCGACGAATGAATGACTGCCTGAATATCAGGCAGTGTTTATATTTAGGTAAATTTCCCCAGGCAGGTACCGAACAGGGTGCAAAAACAAGGGGCAGGGGAGAAGGCAAAGAGTGAGCAGTGTCCTTTAAAGCCAGGGACAGCATCTGGAATTGATGGTCACAAGAGTGCGTCAGTGCCATGAAATATTAGGAACAGAGAATGCAAAGGCTCGGAGGTGAGAGACACAGTTATGTGGCCAATTCCTCACATGTCACTGATAATAATAATAATGATGGAAGTCAGCGCCTTTGAGTGCCTGTCAAGGGGCAGGTCCTGGACGAGGTGACTTAACCTTTGCCATAAGTAGGCACTATGAGACAGTTTCAAGAGAAGCGGACTGGGGCTCAAAATCCCTTGGGCAAGGCTGCTGAGGTCAGTGTGGCAGGTCCAGTGCAGAATCCCATCTTGTCCTCAAACAGCTTTTGGAAGGGGACTCGTCTCCCCACTTGGGGGGCTGAGCCGTGGAACCTCAGATAGGCTAAGTGAGCTGCCCATATGGCCAGGCGGGGCAGCAGTCCGCGCAGAACTCCAGGGTGGCGCACAACTCCGCGGTCCCCGGCGTCCCCAGCCAGCCCAACCCACCAGTCATGAACTGTCATCTCCTTGCTGGGCACAGAAGGCCTGGGAGAGACCGTTCTCAACACAATCAGGACACACCAGCCTCTGGACTTCACTAGTCCTGGTCCCTCAGAGTCCACAAGGCCTGCCCCGTGACCATGGTGGCAAAGGCCATTTGTCAGAAAGCCACCCTGACATGGCTCTTGATGGTATGGCCACGAAGAGCCTGCCCAAGAGTAGATAGAAGGGATGGGGCAGGCTACAGCCAGGCCCCTGGACACCGCCCACAACCCTCCGTGACAGGAGACAATTATAGCACCTGTCACATGGTCAGCAGAAAACTCTGGCTCTGCCGGGGGAGTCCTTGGCACAGGGGGGCCCACTAGCCATCACACCACCCCTGCAGGACCGCCACCAGTGGCCACTAACTTGGGGGTTCTTGCTGGGGCTCCCCTGGCTTCTCAGTCGGAGGGAAGTTATGTCCCATAATCGCAGGAAAGGCTGGTAAGGTGAGAGTGAGAGAGGGGACCCGTGTCGAGGGGCTGGGCCCCTAAGGAAGCGAGGGGCAGGCCTGAGGGCAAGCTCGGCACTGAGCCAGCCAGATCCGAAGGCCACTGGTAGACCCAGGAGGCCCCTGCTCTTTAGAACTTCAGCTCAGCCCACTGAAGCGGCTTAGGTCAGGTCTCCCCCATTATCAGCACCTCTGCAAACTTCCCTGAGCGCGTGGACACAGCCAGTTTGGCAGTTGACGTTGGAGGAGACAGAGCCCCGGCTCTGGCGGGCCCTGTGGGCTGGTGACAGTAGCCTTCCCCCCCTTGCTCCCCACCCACTAGCTCAAGAGCAGGGGAAAGCAAAGAGTTCCTTTGCCTGCCTCCCTTGTGGAAAGGGGTGACCGTATCATGTCACCCTACTGTGGCCAGTGTGATCCAAGTGGAAGTCTGATGGGGCCCCTGAAGGCTTCCACTGTCCCGCTGAGAGAGGGAGAGAAAGGCTGTTGGTACCAGTCGATAGACCTCCGAAGCTGTGAGCAACGTTTTGAGATGCTTTGGCAAGATCCAGAGATACTGGTCCTGAATACACTAAAGCCAGAGGACATTTGGCAATGGCTGGAGATGTTTCTGGTCGTCAGGACTTGGAGAGGGAGTACACCCACCGCCTCAGGGCGGAGGTCAGGGAAGCTGCCAGCACTTGACAATCGAGGAGCTCCCCACCCCTCCCCCACCAACAAAAATTATTTGGCCTCAAATTATAGTAGTTCTGAGACTGAGAAACCCTGTGCTGACCCAACACTAACAACCAGACCCTGTTATGTGTTTGGGCCACTGTCAGGCCCTGGGGACAAGATGCAGCTTTCCCAAGCCGTGAAGATGCAGCTTGACAGCTGCTGCTCAGCAGTCGGCAGGGCCTGGAAGCAGATCTTCCCTCCCCACCTTCCTTGCTCAGGGTCAGGCGGCGTGGTGGGCTGGGAGTCAGCCTAGACTCTAACCTTAGCCCCCCTCAGTCATGACCTTGAGCTGGCTCCCGCTGAAGCTTCAGCTCCTCTGCACACTGGGGACAACATCAGTGTCTTCTGGGCTGGGCGGGGAGGTGGAAGGGGAAGTCCGCAGGTGTGCTGCCCTGAGTTGGACCCTCCTGGGTGAGGCCTGTAGTGGTGGCTGCCTGGCTTCCACTCTGGAGTTGTGTCTCCTCCCCTGAGGACAGATCCTTGGGCTGTGACAGATGGAAAAAGCAATGCAGGTTTCCTCCTCACCTCAAAGCTGGAGACAGGTTGCAGGAGAGGAGTGTGCCGGCCACCTCCACTCAAATGCAGTCCCAGAAGAGTCTCACAATAAAACACCAACCCAACAAAGAGGGGGCACCCAGGAGCATGGGGGCTATAAGCCAAAGCTGGGCCACCAGCCCCAACTGCAGAGCGCCTATCACCTGGCAGAGAGGGCAGAGAGCGGGTGGCCTCAGCCCATCCCCTGCACTCACCATACTGTAGGTGAGGACCTCTCTGGACCTCGGTTCCCTCAGCTCAAGGTGGGCGTAATGACAGTAACCTCTTCGCAGGGCTTTGGGAGCTGGAATGAGTCAATACCCAGCTAACGCCAGCCTGCCCACCCCCAGCAGGCCTCCTGCATGCTGGCACCTGCCCACCTGGCTCCAGCCCTTGCTCCCTCTCACCCCAGGCTGGGGGCAGAGTCACCTCCGCCCAGCACTCCATTCCAACCTCACCTGCTCATGCCTCCTCCCAGGGGTCTCCCTGGGCCAGGGAGCTCTTGGCAGCCTACTGAGACCTGAGAGCCCTTCTCCGAACCATGGCTTTGACACTTGAAAATGTCCCACTTTGCAAAGGTCGCAGCCAAGCAGCGTTGTTAAAAGCTGCGGCAGGCACGTGGCACAGCAGAGCCCCCCTTTGTGTGTTAGGGACAAGAGGAGCGGTGCTGGGTGGCCCGCAGGCTGGAAGTGTGGTGGAGCAGACACTGTCAGCGACAGTGACAGCTACCTGCGGCACAGACCCTCTGTGACTTCTTGTGGCCTCCGAGACCAAGGTGCCACCGAGCGCTGGGCTGTTACCTGTGCTCACAGTGGTCCTCTTTCACTTGGGCTCCAACTGGTGAAGACAAGATCCGTCCGTGGAGTTCAGAGACCCGCGGGCAGCGCTGGCCTCTGTGGGTCCAGGAAGAGCTCCTTTGCATCA